TCAAAGTCAAAGTCAAAGTCAAAGTCAAAGTCAAAGTCAAAGTCAAAGTCAAAGTCAAAGTCAAAGTCAAAGCATTTATTTCAATTAAACCATAGTTTGGTACTTTTGAAACGTCAACAAATACAAAATAAATAATAGTCTGTCAGTCAGTCCGTCAGTGAAGCTAGGTGAAGCTAGGTGCTCATTCCAAAACGTAGATTCGAATGGAGAAGAGTGAGTGAATTTTCTATCTATATATAAACCAACAATAAGTATGTTATAAGATGAAAATGGACGCACATTTAATGTAAATATAATAATGCTCATTAATTCAAGAGTGAAATACTATGAAAGCTTATATAGATTGATGAAACAACAACTAAATTGTTAATATACATTATATGGGCTATTTTTTTAAATAGTTCAGTTAGCTCATATTACCAAAAAGGAATATATATCCATAGTTAACGTTATTATCAACAAACTTCCACCATAATATAGCTGATTCTGCTTTTAAAGGTGGTAATTCACTTTTCGCTGAAATTATGACAAAATTAATTCATTCACTATTCCAAAACATAATAATATAGTCTCCTCTCTCTAGATAGGGGTTCCGTAGTTTCTATCTATCCCATCATCATAGACGTATTCTTTGAATTAGGTATTCTTCAAACAGGCGTTGCCTGCATTAAGGATCTGAATAATGTGTCATTGCAGTTTGGTGCATTTTTGTTCTAGTAGTTTTTTGGATTTATATGAGACACACTTATTTTTATTTATCTCTAACTAACTACTTCCACGCGATTTCACCCGCTCTACTCGGCTTCTATCCAACGCAAAAATCCTGAGATTAGCGCGTTCAAACAAACTAACTCGTCAGCTTTATGTATTAGTACTAGCTTCTGCCCGTGACTTCACCGGTTTCTTCCGTTCCCGTAGGATTTTCAGGACTGTCTTAAGAACCTTCTCCTGACAAAAAAAAAATCAGCCAAATCGGTCTAGCCGTTCACAAGATATGGCGTGACAACGGGAAACGGGTTTCATTTTTAAATAATTATATCGATAGATAAGATAAATAAGTATATTACTTTATGTGCGTATGAAAATAAATATACAAAATATATATATATCAATAAATAGAATTATTCTCCTCTCCTACTTACTTTCAGCTTCTAAGAATTTTACAAATCCATAACCTTTAGGTATAATATGCAGAGCAATAACAAAAATAGCTGCGACAGTTGTATCTTTTAACCTGAAATATATAAAAATCGTTACAAATAGCCCGGTCAAAGTAGATTTAAATATCAGAGTGATCGAATAACATTGATTGTACGTATAATGTCAAAATACATTGTGGAAAGAGTTATTTGGAGCCAAAGGTAAAGATCTAGTTTTTGATTATTTTTCAAAAATATATTTTTTTTTCAAAGTACTTATTGATCTCACATGATGTGTTGTAGTAGTTTTTCTGTTATTTTAGATGTCAAGATCTATTTCTACCGGCGTAAATGAGTTATAGGAGTAACTACATCACTGGCATTCTGATTGAGGGAGTATAGAGAATAATATAATAAATGTAACCAATTGCTTTCAAATTGTTTCCTGAAAATCTTGCTAGCTTTTAGGTTTAACTCTTTCAGTCTTGGCGGTCACTGTAGCTAACCACCTTTTCTTAGAAATTCAATTTTTGAAGTATGCTTCAAATTATTTTGCATTGCTTTTTAAGTATTTCTGTATAATTGAATAAAATATATTCGTAACCAGTTAAAAGTGTGACTGAAAGAGCTAAAAACTAGCAACATACGAACCCTAAAGGGTTCCTATGTTCCTATGCGGGATATGATTACGGGATGAAATCCCGTGAATACTTTAGCGGATGCGCTATACCACTTGACAGACGGAGTTAGGTGCCTAAAATCAAGCAGTCAATAAAGTAAATATAAATTACCTTGGAATTTCCGGAGAGTCTACATCTCTTCTGAATTCAGCCCATCCATCTATCCATTGATTCCAACGAAAGAAGAACGTAATCACGATGATAATTAAAAATATTACCGAAAGCTGAAAAGTATAGTAAATGTAATGTACTCAATACCTCTGCCCAAAGTAATCTATTCGTATTCGTTATGTATTTTATTTATTTCAAATAATTAGTATAACATTACAGTCATAAAACCAAGGTGTTATACATTTTAAATAATTATAAAAAGAAAAACAAAACAAAACAGAAAAGTCCTTGTGACAAATTGTATACTTGGTTGAAAAAAAAATAATGAAATGTATATTTCTAACGTATCCACCAAATATCAATTATCAATATGCTAATATATTAATTGATCGCTCACATCCAAATAGAAATTCACCTCTTGTGTTTAGATTGAGGAGCCATATTAAAAGTATTGTATTTTCTTCAATTATAGCACTACAGAAGCCAAATTTTTATATGGTAACGTGCAAAATTACTACTAAATGATACAAAATTTTCATAAATATTCATCTATTACTTAACGAGTTCTAGGTGGCTCCTCAATTCAAACGTTTAGATTGAGGAGCCATGTTTGCATTAAAATAACTAGTGATATATTTTGCTGCTAAATCTAGAATTCGTGCTGCAAAATAAGCTAAACTACTGCTAAATAATGGCGAGATCAGATTTTAAAAATGTGATGTGGCTCCTCAATCCTTACGGACATCGTAAATTTCCTGTTATAATTTTGTGTACAGGGACACATTTTATATGAAATTTCTCACCAATTGGAAAAAGTTAATTTATTTTATTAATAATTAAATATTACAAAATAAATTACAAGATATCAAGGAAAAAAAATTAAGATGATGTATTTTAATAGAGTAAGAGCCTCCGACGCCCAGACACACGTTATATATAAAATCTGATTTTTTTTCGCGCCTAACGCCTATCCCTAACATTCTTGGGTTCAAGGTCCCTGAACCAAAATCGATCAGGGCCCAGGACATTCAGGGTGGTGGTTACATCGGCAGGTAATCAGTAAAAAGGTGTGAAAATAAAATAGTACCTCGAATTCGTTCCTTTGTGGGATTATTGAGTTTTTTAAACTACGAAATAAAATGTAGGTAGCTGATGACATTTGATGCATTTATTTGATACAAATATTAAGCTTAAATATTACTTCGTAGCAACATGTACATATTTGTAATAATAATAATATATTATTTGTATGAACCATTTTATTTATTTATTAATTTTATTTTGTCTTTGTATCTAACACATTACATGCAGTTTGTTTTTATTTTCTATTTTATTTGTCTTCTCACCTACCATCCGTGAGTCACTGCAGGGTGCCACCAGAAGATCAGCGTTGAGTGTTACCACGCTCAACATAATGCTGAGGTGGAGGCCCGTTCGACACGTGCATCTATTTTTGTTAATTTTGTGATGTTTATTGTTTGTTTTAATTTTGTTTTTATTTATAACTCATTTTTGTCTACATATCTGTGCATGCAATGTGTCGAATAAATGTTTTTCTTTCTTTCTTTTTTTCTTTCAACAGCCGTAGAATATTATTATTATGTACATACATTGGAAAAATACTAATTCAAACACTTATATTCTGCCTAAAGTCACTATTGCGCGCTAAGTTACGAGGAAAAGCTATACTAAAACTTCTTACCCTCTCATGCAAGCTGATTCTGCGAGGTATTTCCTTACGACTCTTCAGAAAAATGGATCTTAATTCTGCCATCTTTGCTGCAGGCATATTTTTTCCCAAAGCCCTATAGTAGTTAAATATACAAGGTGTAGTTTTGAAACCGTGGCATTTCTCGGGGGCATGTCACAGAAGTCATAAAGGTTCAATGTACGAGAGAGTTTCGGGCCAATAGTTAAAAATACGGCTATAAGAAATCGTTTAAGTTCGACAGTATTTCAAAATAAGCGACAGCAATGGTTGGTGGACGAATAATATCAATTACGTGTTTGAGTTGGTGTGTGTTAAGCCGCGTTACAAAACTAGTAACAAGACGGCGGCGTGTAGTTCGCACTTACGGATTTCCGTAATTTACAGAAAAATGAAAAATATTTAACTACAATTTTTTTTTATTGATTCGGACTCAGAATCTGTAGCCGAGTTACCTCCTAGAAAATGACGCGGATTTAAAACAACACCTTGCATATGTAAATTAAATGTCGCAATGGCGTGGTGGCCTGGAGGTTTAAGACGTCGCTTCTCATGCACGAGAGTGCGGGTTCGAAACCTACCCACGGCAGTATCAATTTGCTTTTTCCGCGTTAAGTATATATATTTTCTAAGATAATCAAGACACTACTGACAAACGGTTAAGGAAAACTGCGTGAGGAAACCTGGACGTTTAATTTCTAATTATAAGTGTGAATTCGCCAACCCGCATTGAGTAAGCGTTTTGATTATTGCTCAAACCTTCTCCGTGTGAGAAGAGGCTTCGCTCAGCAGTGGGCATTTGTAAGCAGTTGATGTTGATGATGATGATAACAACATCACGCCTTTTATCCCGAATGGGTAGGCAGAGGTGTATATTACGGCTCTTAATGCAACATTACAATATAACACCCACTTTTCACTACTTATCGCGACCGCTCGGCCAACGTGCGCAATGATAATAAATTTTGCACAATATCCTAAAATACATTTAAAACAAATGGACTATATTAAACTGAAAAGTTAATAACATTAACATAACATCACGCCTTTTATCCCCGAAGGGGTAGGCATTATGCCACTGTACAATGTAACACCCACTTTTCACTATTTATGTTATAAGTCCCATGTAATAGGGGGTGAGCCTATTGCCATATACCGGGCACAATTCCAGACTCCGTGCTACTACTGAGATTTTTTTTTAAAACCCATTAATACTTTGCCCGACCCGGGAATCGAACCCGAGACCTCTTGCCCGGCAATCGCAATTGCGACCACTCGGCCAACGAAGCCGTCGGTACGAAAAGTTAATGTAATCATTATTTATCAAATTATTTGTTATTAACAGATTATTTAATAATACTGACCAGTCCATAAGAAACATATGGTAACTAACATTCAGAAGGAACATTACGAACGATAATGGAAAAGCAAAAGCTGAATATTGTAGGTAGTTAAATATATCTGGATATTCTTTATCAGCAGGAGCGAATCTGTGAACACAGACAAATTTATTAATGTTCGTACGGAGCAACTGATTGTATGATTCACAAATTGTTGTTCTGGGTCCAGGTGTCATGTTTATCTGAATTTGTATGCTAGTAAACGCACCCACTACATTTTTTTTAAGTGGGGATAATCATCGAATGACTTCTCCCGCCTGGGTAAAGCGGGATCCCTCCCGCCTCACCGCACACAGGCCAGTGTCAGACTCTTACTGACTAAAAACCACCCCGTTCCTACACCTGTACACTTCGAGCCGGAGCGCCGGTAACCCGTCAAGTTCTCCGGGGCTCCGAATCGGCATCAGCCCTATTGTGCCCCATCTGTGGTGGTCTGATGGCTCTTTGAGGCGCGCGCGGAACGCGACGCGCTGTACGCTCGGGTGCACCCACGATATACGAGAAGACCCTAGTGTGGGGGGGCAAAATTTATTAAAAAAAGCTCACACACAGCAGTTAGAGAATGACTTAAACTGTTTTTAAACGAATTATAACAAAAGTTATATTAGTAACTTGCCATGTTGTAGAGTATATTACACAATGAGTATGTATTACAGTACATAACTGCAGTGTGGAAGTACTTCAATATAAATATACTTACTCTACAAAGGCCCCCCTAAAGAGAATCGTCACCATTGCGGTATGAAAAAATGCAACGCTGCCTGAAATTAAAAATAAAAAGATTAGTGAGCCTCTAGGTATGCAATAGATTTTAAGAATTGAAAACCTGTTTATGCGTTAAATCACTAATTTATAAGGCGGATTATCTTTGAGCAGCGTCTTATGCAGGCGCTTACGTCCTCTCTCTTTTATATGTTTAAATTAACAGATTTCATGGCTGTCCTTTGAGGAAATCTCCTAGATACTCTTTAAACTGTCAAACACCAAGCGGTCACCGGTGACCACAACCTATTGTTCTATAATTGTGTCTACAAAACCGGTACTCGACGAGTTAAATAATAGATTCCAGCAGCAAAAAAATTAAAAAAAAACAAAAATCGTTTATTTGCACAAACAAGGTACACAATGGTCATTTTAGTTATAATTACAGTCTCTTATTCTGCCCACGATTCGAGCGTGCAAAATTTTTAAATGAAAGTAATAATAAAATTAAAACCATGTGAAAACAACAATTAAAGATACATGTTTAAATAAAATTGTGTAATAAAAGTAAAGTATATTATTTGTTAAATATTAAAATAATAAAAAGAATGTAATTCTATATCTGTATTAATGCTTTTCATTTATAACAAAACTATATACCAACGCGCCCAGTTATACAGAAATGTAATATGTTGCAGCTGGCCCGTTCGGTTAAGGTTTTGGCAGGTACCATTGGTCGTTACATAACCCGAAGGCCGAAGGGATAGGCAGAGGTACACTTTACGGCACCTAATGCCACTGTACAATCAAATGTAACACCCACTTTTCACTATTTGTGTTATGAGTCCCATGTAATAGGGAGTGAGCCTATTGCCAGATACCGGGCACAATTCCAGACCCCGTGCTACTACTGTCATTTAAAAAAAACCCTGCAGTACTTTACCCGACCCGGGAATCGAACCCGAGACCCCTGCCCGGCAGTCGCACTTGAGTCGCACAATGAGGAAGTCATAGTATTGGTCGTTATATTACTCATACATTGTTTTATGCTGTTTTTTATTAAATTGATTGTTAAATTAAATAATTATCATCATTATGCATGTTTACTCAAGACATATGCTTCTCTGTTTTTGCAAACTTAAGCCTACACCACAATTTGTACGCCTCCGGCTATACCCGGAGCTGTAGCGGTATACTAAGCATAGCGCTCTATTTTAATAAGACCTATGCACCTATGTTAACAAAAAAAGTGATTTGATTTGATTTGATTGTAGGCGACTCTAGGTTCTTTAGCATTCTCCTTTGATATAATTATACAGTTACGCATCTTGGTGCTCCCCTTCCGTGAAAATGTGTTCTAAGTTACTTATCTCATTCAGTAAATTTACCTATTGATGAGGCTGTTTGAATTGCATTGTTTATTATGTGTCGCATGGTAATGTAATTGGGATCAATTTCCGGGTTCTTTGGGCTTGCCTGGAAAATAAATTGTGAATATTATAGTAACTTCCACCTTTGTAAAAGTTGTAGCAAAATATTGTTGACGGATTTCAAAAAAACCGCATATAACCGCAAAAATGGAAAAAATCGTTCAGTTTTTTAAATAATTGCACGGATTCACTGTTATTTGTGTACGATAAGAAATTTATTTTCTCAAAAATAGTCTTTAATAATTTTGCACGACATTTATTAAAGAAATATTATCAATACTCACATCCAATTTTGTGACGGCATTCGTTACAAGTTGGGTCAAAGTAGATGTAACTATGAGTCGGCTACTGAACATCGATAGGAAATAAGCAGCTACACTAGTTTTGAAAATCAATCTGAAAACAAATAGGTACACACAATACTTACTCGTGCAAAAGCCATGCTTCGTTTAAAAAAAAAAGTATAACATCACGCATTTTATCCCTGAAGGGGTAAGCACAGTTGTACATTACGGCACTTAATGCCATTGTACAATATAACATCCACTTTTCACTATTTATGTTAGGAGCCCCATGTAATAGGGGGTGAGCCTATTACCATATACCAGGCACAATTCTAGACTACTATTTTTTTTTAAAAAACCTTTAATACTTTGCCTGACCCGGGAATCGAACCTGTGCCTTTAGCCAAACGCCACTTCGGCGCTTGTCTACAGAGAGATTAGAAATCAAAATGTATGGGGAATGGGAATGATATTGACAGGTGTCAAAATTTAAATTAATCAATTCCGTCAATTCCATATAATTTAGTTTTCTACACTACAAGTAGACAAGTGCTAAATGACATTTGGTTACAGATGCTGAGATCCCTTGCCCGGCAGTAGGACTTGCGACCACTCGGCTTAAGAGTAATTAATCGCAGTGCGAATAATGTACTTGCAACTCTTCTGATATTGCGAATATCTATCTAATCTAGATACTGTCTAGGACGCATTTCACATCATAATGAAAAAACAGTAAGTAAATATGACTTCTTACCTTTTTCCCGAATATTGACAGGCGTCGCCGGAGCACACAAGCCTCAGACATATACGTCGATCGACGCCAGAATTGTTAAGCAGCACTACTATCATCGAAGATATTACAAGTAGCATCACATATTCCTAAAAAACACAGTGATTCATTACATGTTGACCAAGTATAGTAACTAGGCGAGATAGTGGTCAAACGTCGGCCTATCAAATATAGAAAAAAAAATTGTACTGGGATACGGATAGCAAACCATGGAATTTTATCCGAAACCCGATTACCGTACGTCTTCGGTACGTTGCTATTCAATAGTTGTTCCTTACAAAGGCTACACAAGGATAAAGCAATTGTCATCGCATCAATTGAGTGCGAACGGCGATATAAATGGATAGTGAGCAAAATACACCCAACTCCTCCACAGCTTACTCCTCCTCCTGCGAAGCGGTCATGCTAGCTAAGGAGGAGGCGGGGCTGGTAAAATCTCTATTCTGCGACTCAATACCAATTGATTATGATGATAATTAAATATTTTTTATTGGTAACTAAAAAAAAATGAACTGAATAACATGCTTAATATGAGTCATATTTTCTTCTTATTTAATGAATAGAGAACCCGTGAAAGAATTTAATGCGGTTTAAGATAGTGAACCGTGGCTTTAGCTTCCATAAAGAAGTAGTCTGAGCTGTGGCGGACATGGGTGCGCTGCCCATACATTTTTGTGCACCATCCTTTGCTAGAAAGGGTTTAGATGATGTGAGATTTTACTAACTACACCATACTACTACTATACTATCGTTATTCATCGCTCAAAATTTTCTATGTTAAAATTAGATTCAGGTCTACTATCCAAGTGTCTACGATTTTTTTTATTTTAAGAGAGGAAAATCATCGAATCTAATGACTGCTCCTGCCTGGGTAAGGCAGGAGGAAGTGTCAGACTCTTACTGACTAAAAACCACTCCGTTCCTTCTCCTGCATGTCAAGCCGGAGTATTAGGCCGTTAATCTTTTAAATCTGTATTTTTTTTCTAAATTGATCGAAGACAATATTAAAAGATGTTTTAAAAACTTACGGTCAAATAACAACCACAAGTCTTAACCGTTGGCATAACTCCGGCCATCGGTAGAACAAATACTGGAATCAATCCGGTAACCGGGATTGAAACCGGTTGGGTAAAGAAGAACCAAGTCATCGTCAACCACATAATCATTACTTTTTTTGCATTCTGAAAGAAAAACGAAAATGTTATTCCCAAAGATATTCAAACAGAGGTAGAATGTGTAGGTACGATTGAAAAACTCCCAATTGTTCCTTTGTTGTCTTTTTTTTTCGAGCAATGAGTACAATTCCTAAGTTGTGCATAATACCATTGTAAAGTATTCCTTTCTAGGCATAAGTTCAAAACCAGGCAGGACTGCCTTTACCCAAGTTATATGTACTTCCTTAGTTTATTTAAACAGCACTGATATACCTCTACAATAAAAGAAGACCTCATGAAACCTGTAGGTCTACTCTGATTCTCCAAAAAACGAAGTTTCGTTCAAAACTTCGAAGATTATCTACCACAATGACATTTCTTAAGAATGAAAAAGCATTGAAACAAGCCAGAAATTAGTATGAGCTGTACTGTTTGACGTTTTAATTTTCGGAACCATACTCTAATTGCATAATCCGCACGAACGAAAATTTAAGTTTGACAGATTCTTCGGACTTTTAATGTCATTTGGACGAAACCAAAATAGTTACCGTTTGATATTCGTTTTGGTTAATTTTTATTGAAATAAATGAAAGTAATTACAAGTCTTTGTTTTATTAAAGTTGCTTCGGGTGAACAAAACGTAAGGCACCAAAGAAAGCACTTAAATAAAATCAATGTACAGTCAGCTCAAATAGCTTTTAACACGGACTTATAAATTCTATAAGTCTACCGACAGTTGGTAACATTTAGGGTATTATGTGTAACATTTTATTTTAAAACTAATAATACCTTTAGAAAAATAAATTCATGTATTGCTAGTATATATTTTCGCTATCCTTTCACATTTAGATGTGAATGTTAATATAAAAACATTTATAGATCAGATAAATTCTTTAAAAAATATATTCTAATCATCATAACACAAAATAATTTAATCTTTTCAAATTCTCATATTTCTGCAAATAGGCTACAAGGCGGCACTTTTACACATAATTTTTAAACTGACTCCACCAATATAATACGAATAAATTTGGTTGTCATTATTTTATAAATAAATGTCAATAAATGACAATGTCAACATTCTAAAACATCTTAACTTAATCGTATAATAAATCTTTTAGTAGATTCTTATCCTGTTTAAGATTTTGCATCCTAAAAATTAATTTTAAATGCTTATTCATAATTTTCGAATATGTGTGCTAAGCCTAAAATAACTTTTTATAGAGGTATTTAATTTCAAATCTAAACCTATTTTTTGCCTATTTACTTCTCTTCATTTTAGTTCACGAAAGTTGTATAGGTTCCGAAAACATTGTTTGCGGTCGCAAATCAAACGAAACTTCGTAATCGAGAACCAGAGTAGATCTCCTAAGTTCAAATTTCAAATTATAAGTTTAAAATCGCTCATTTGCCTTGATGCCCAAGCGTGATGATATTCTCTGTGTTAGAAGAAACCTTTGCTCACTGATGATGAAGATCGCTTAGTAGTCTGAGCTCATAAATCCCATATAATAATAATCCTATTAAGTTAAATTCAACGCATGCTCTTGCACCCGCTGATTACTTTCTCTGCATCACCCAAGGGTCAGACTGGTAGAAAATGCTTGCGGCATTAAGTCCACCCATGTGCTTGTTAGTGTGCATATAGCTTAAATAAATAAATAATACTTTTTCCGTTTCAAAAATCGAGTGTGATCTCTGTGTTTAGTAAGCACGTTTACATTTAGAAGTAGTTTTGACCAATCTCCTCTCCGAAAGGCGGACAATTGACCTGTACCACCTTTGGTTTTGTAGGTGTCCATGCTTGCTTACCATCAGGCGATCCGCCTGCTTGTTTTATTCTTGAATTTGATAAAAACTCTAACATACTCACATTCTCTTTTTCAATTTGCCATGCAAATGCGGCAACCGGTACTATGACACCGATTAACCCTCTGTAATTGTTATGTATCGCGTTGGAAAATCTCTCCCCCATTCCTCCTACTGGTGTTTTTGGTGGAGGCTTCTTTTTGCTGTAATTTATTAATAAAAGTGAGTACTTACAGTTATATCGACTTACAAACTACCAACTAAAATCTTTTCACGAAACTTCGATGTATAATCTTTTACAAGTGTGGAAGAGCCATGCTTCGGCACGAATGGGTCGGCTCGACCGGAGTGATACCACGGCCTCACAGAAAACCGACGTGAAGCAACGCTTGCGTTGTGTTTCGTCGTGTGAGTGAGGTTACCGGAGGCCAATTACCCTCCCCTTCCCCAATTCCCCAATCCCTGAATCCCCAACGAATGAACGATCGATGCAATAAATGTACAGGGTGCAACTTTTACAGATTTTAGTCGGTTCGATTGCCGAGTGCGGCAAACTAATTTTTAAAGATCTTTGAATGCAGTTTTGTTTCTTTTAAAAATAAAGGAATGTTTTTTCTTTGAGTAAAATTGTCTATCTTGAGTACTTCCTCTGTATGTGGCATTACAAAATTCCACCCTGTGTATGTGAATGTCTGATTATTTTCCCATAAAAAAGCTAGACAAATAGTCTAAGCACATTTCGGAGATCTATTATTGCTAAAAATAATTCCTTTCAACCATGCCTACCAGTCTATACTTAATTTTTTTAATACTAAAGAGTGCTAATTTGATAACAAATAAAATAATTCTAGAAAATACTTACAATGGACTCGTCAACAGGCTGAAATATAAAAAATATAATTTTAATTAAATTTTCAACAATAGAATATTTGTATAAGAGTTCTTTCTTTCTCTGATGGGTATAATGATAACATTATGTGATAGTGAAACATAGTATGCTGTCATTCCTTTTATATTTTTTTTATTTTTTTAAGGGGGGAAAATCATCGAATGACTGCTCCCGCCTGGGTGAGGCGGGAGGGAGTGTCAGACTCTTACTGACTAAAAACCACCCCGTTCCTTCTCCTGCACGTCGAGCCGGAGCCCCGGTTACCCGTTAGGTATTCCTTTTATTTAGGTTGTATTTTAAAGAACATTTGAATAGATATTATTTTAGTAATAATTTATTTTTTGTTGCATTGGGTAGGTATATAATATTGGGCAAATAATATTTTTAAACATCTGTATTTTTGCAAATTAGTATAAAACAGTACATTCTTAGACGGTGTGCAACTTCTTTGTGATTAATTGTAAAATGTAGTAAGCAAGACAAATATATTTGTGATGTTTTTAGATATTTCCCAATTACCCCCAATCGCCGAATCCCAAACAATCCTTATATTCTTATAAAGGCCGGTAACGCACTAGTAACGCCGTTGGTTTTGGTTGGTTTTGGGTGTACATACATGGGTGGAGCCGATTGCTTACCATCAAGTGATCCGACAGCAGGCTTACCGCCTTACCCCATAAAAAACATCGGAATATATTTAATAAAAAAAAATATAGTGGAGTAACGATGTAGGCGATACTCGACTAGTAATTATGTGGTTCAATCAACGGAGAAACTTACTTTTTTATTGTTTCCCCAACCCTGAAAAAGAATAAAGCTTTTATATTTTAGTAATCATGGTGAAAACTATACCTGTCTACAAAAAATCAGCTTAATCGATTGAACATTTGAAAAATATGCTTCAAAATTTAGTTGTATACATTCAGTAAGTATACATACATAATAAAAGTTTGGGAGAATAGATGTGTGGTGTTGGGGTGTCCATGGGCGGCGCTGATGCTTACCATCAGGTGATAGGTCTGCTCGATTGCCTCCTATACCATAAAAAAAAATGAAGACCAGAGGGCTGCATGACTTTGTTTTTATGTTTAAAATAATAAAAAAAGAACGCGTTCAGTGCTCTGATTGGCCGGTTCTTCTGAACCGGCTTTTCTTACTAGTAATCGACCTAAGCCCTTAGAACACTCACTGTAAATGCATAACATTGTGTAGTCCACAATCTGTAGTTTTTTTGCGACAATGTTACTGTCACTTTATGAGTGACAAATCGTACTCATTTCTGTAATGAACTTTAAGGACTCCCATAGTAATGCGCACTTAGGTCAGTTGGTTTTTACTTCACTCTAATGTTGCCTGTCGCCTATATTTGTCACCATATTGTCATGTCACCACAGTAACAAAGATCGCAATCACCGCCTCAACGGTCTAATTTTTTTCATTGGCAAGAAAATAATCGGTAGTCGCTTTTATGCTAACAATGTGAATTATTCAATTGCCTCATAATGAATTACAGTTATTATCAACAGATTCAGAGAGTTATATACTTACCCGGCGGGAGGTGGCGTTTTCCTGTGGATTTAAATACATGAAGATTAGTTTCAGCTTTATTTTATTCACATTTGGGTGAATTTTGCAGTAATAAACAAATAATTTTGTATTTATAATGAGTGAAATAAAATATTAGTAAAACGCCACTGTTAGGCTAAGGACATACGGCGCGATTTCTATCGCGCCCATCCCGTCTCGGCCCGCAGCCTTTGTAGTATACAGATTGTATGTAGAAAATTAAAGCACATTTTATGACGCGTTTCAAGGCGGTGTCTGCGATTATTTACGGCTCCCGCTACACCGGTTTGCGCGGCCGCGGTTCGGCAGACGCAGCGGGTTGCACCCGCGATCTTTGCTATCGATTGGCGGGCGATTGCAAAGGGAGGGCTGGTCTGGAACTCATCTTGCGATTATCAACCGCCAAGGCGCGGGACGTCTTCCGATAGACGACGATTCATGTTAAATCCCTATCCTGAAGTCCTACTATTTGACACCAAAACGTATAGTATGCTATTTGATAATTAGTATGTCCACAATAATTTAAAATAACAATTACTTACGGAGCCATCGTAATTTAAATTATTTTCTTTACAAATTCCAGTCACAACATTTGGCTTTTTGACCTGTCGTAGCCATAGCACTTCACCAAAATGTTTGCAAATGTTTCGAAAACAAAAGAAATACATTCATGCATTATTAAAATGGACAGTATCATTTTCTCAAGGAGATTTATTGGTTTGAGTTTTTAATGGATATAAATGAAAAAAATCTAATTCATATAATGTTCACATAATAAATGCTCGAATTAGATCACATGACAGAGTTGATGATGATGATAATAACCATTGATTTCAGTATAAAAGTGTGCCTTAAAACCAAAGCATTAAAGCTAAAGAATTGTCGTGTTACCCTATCGTTAAGACTCAAGTACAAGTACCTACCAACTAATGGAACTATTTCAGGGTTATTGTTATAATTCCAAAGATTATTTAGACATCAAAGACAAACTGTATAGAAATGATAACATCGTGTTGAAATTATAAATTCTAATCACTAGTTTGAAATATCCAGCTAAGCTCCGCTCGTGGTACCGCGTGGGGTTACGCGGGTGCAGGCGTCTGATTAACGCAGTTTCGAGCCAAAGATTAGACACCAACAATTTCTTACCAATGCTACGTTTCCTAGGGATAAACTAAGGTTACTAGCAAATTGGGTTATCATTCATCTAACAAACAAATAAAAAATAGACAAATGGCAGTGTTTATTTTTAAGGAATTATAACAATTAAAAATTTCATAACACAATTCACGTATGCACCTATATACGTTCATAAATTCGAAAGACACTTCTTAACTGTATCCGGCTAAGTACGAACTCTAACTATTTAGTACATAGCACGTGATTAAAATCGTCACTTATCACTTCTCGATATGCTTTATATTCAGGGTGGAAAACCCAAGTTCTTGGATCAGACGGGTGTGGTTCTACGGTAGGGGTCGGTGCCTACAGCGCGATCGTGCCGTGGCGGCGCTTGTTCCTCGCCACCTCTCGCGCCAGCACCGAACGTCACCATCTCCTCCTCTCGTGAAGGTGGAGGCTCCACAGCCGAAGTGTCCAAGAAGCGGCCGCTCGCCACCGACGCCTGTGACTGAAATATTGATGCACTCCTCAACCCGCTTAAAGTATTCGCACTTTGAGGTACTTCCTTGAATTCCTCAAAGTAATTGTCACAGGCTGTCGGTCGTGGCGCCGCCGGGAACCCGTACAGCGTTGACGACGACAAATCTTTCAGTGATGCTGAACTTAAATTTATTCTCCTATTTTTATTATGTATTGAACAGTGCGGCATTTCGTCCCCGTCGAACACGAAACGTCGTCGCTCACGGGGCGTTGCAGCTGATGACCCTGAAGGGGGATACGTGTCCCTTTTCATCATTCGCCTTTCTAATAGCGTGGAGTCTCGCTCTCTAAACTCTGTGAAGGCGTATTCGCGATCCCACGCTCTACAATCAGCTTTTGCTTTCTCAGTAAGCTCTGTTATCCAATCCTTTTGATACCATTGTAGGAACAGGAAAATAGCTGATGTGCCAGCTAGCTCTGCTGCTACAAAGCCGCTTATGTAGAGTCCAAACGAATAGCCGTAACTATATGACATTCGTGGTGTATCAAAATATGTCATATAGCGCAACTTGTGGCCCACTTGTGATTTAAATACAGATATGTACATGACGATTCCGGTCAGCATTATTAAACCTGAAAGAAGAAATATTGAAATATGTAATAATTTATAGTAGGTATGATATGATGGTAACAGTTAGGTTTATCAACAAAATCAAGGGAATTTAAAGATAATTAGAGTCTCTAAACAGATAATAATAGCAACTATCAAAACATTTGTTAAGCATAATAAAGTCCATTTGTTGGAAGCGTTACTAGGTTTTTATGGCGATACGCCACCCATTAGGTATCAGCCACGTAAGTAATAGAGAACGAGCTATTTTGTCGTCCACCGGGCAACATTCCAAACTCTATGTATGCTATTACTGAGTATTTCGAACAATCTAATATTACTTTGCGAGATCCGGCAACCGAACCAAATAACTCTTTGCCTGACTTTTATCACCGTGACCACTCAATTAATGGGGCATGCAATATGAATATAAATTAATGTATGCATAACATAACATCACGCCTTTTATCCCCGAAGAGATAGACATAGGTGTACATTAAGTCACTGTATAATGTAACACCCACTTTTCACTATTTATGAGTCCCATGTAATAGGGGGTGAGCCTATTGCAATATACCGGGCACATTTCCAGACTCTGTGCTACTACTGAGGTTTTTACAAACCCAGTAATACTTTGCTCGACCCGGGAATCGAACCCTAGACCCCTTGCCCGGTAGTCGCACTTGCGATCACTCGACTAATCAGGCAGTAGGACAAGGAATTCAGTTAAAAGATCCTACTGTGCAAAATAATTAAATAATAATACACATTGCGCGAAATGCAACTTGCAACTTACCAGAAATTATAAACAAGACTCCAGCAATGAACGTGCATAATCGTCGCCCTTTGACGCAGTGCCCCAAGACGCAACACAGAGCCCCCACTGCTTGAGTGAACACGGCGAGGAGGAGCGGGGCTGCAGACCGCGTCACCACATCTGTAAAGTATGGAAATATTTTAATGGTGTGTTGTATTATATTATTAAGTTATTTACAAAAAATATTAACTAAGTAAATATTTTTTAGAAATAGTAAGAAAGAAATAAAAACAGTTTATTTGCACCATTACAGAAAAAACAAGAAAAAAAAAAATAAAAAAAAAACAACAGTGCAAAAAGGCCAGTGTCTAACTAAAAACCCGTGTCACGAGTGCGATTGCTCGAGTCGCAGCGCTAATCTTCAACACTAGCCGGTTGCCAAAATCTCATATAAATTATCAGAATATATATATAGTAACAAAACAAGACAGAAACATGTAATATATTTCCTAACGATCACTGAAGTATTTATTAAAACAGGTATGTATAATCTATGAGTTTGTCATCTCTGGACTTTGACAGTCATAAAATAATGGCGTCCACGCACAGTCGACTCCATAAAGCTGTTACTATTTAGTATAGTCGTAATGAAAAAAAGTGTAGCAATCGACAAGCATGCATGAAGAGATGAATGATGAATCGAGAAGCAAAAGAGGTTTGTCGGAATCGTGTCTTTTGGCGTCTCATTGTTCCTACTTGCCCTTCACACAGGTGTGACCACAGAACATATAAACCTTCTTTATAAATTATGTTCTGTGGGTGTGACCTATCTATTTTCCACAAATGAGCAAATAATATTCTTACTTTCTCATTCATGTAAACCAGTAAGGAATGTTACTTCTTGTTAGTTTTGAAGTGAAAAAGAACAAAGTGTGTACAACTTATGTGTCTTCAAACTACGAAATTAGGTCGTAATAATTTAACGCTAACTGTACCTGTCAAACTAAAGATTTTAGTTTGTAAACGCGACTACGATACAAGGTAAATCTTAATATAGAGCTACGTGTTTACAAAAGAAACACTTTTAAAATATAAAATATGTGTCACATAGCAAAATGTAACTTACATGGTATTGCATTTGTTGAATCGCTCGGGTCGGGCTGCCATTGTGATAATGGAAAATATGGGATGTCTAAACACCGGAACACAGTGCTACCAGCTGAAATGGGTAAAAATACAAAATTAATATAAAGCATTTCAAACATAACATATCAATATTGTTTTTAAAAAGAGGAATGATTTGATTTTCTTTGCTGTGCGTTGAAATGAATTCAGAATCCAATTCAAAATTTTTCCAAAGCATATCGGGCTTATCATCTGATAAAATTTTGTGGTTGATTTTGGGTTAACACTCATCCGTTCGTTCAATATTCATTATTTTATTCTGTTCTAAACTACTAATTCACTTCATAACATACATATAACGAAAAACAGCTATTAGAATAACACAGACGTGTTATTAAATCAGGGAAATGGACTAGTCACAAATGGTGTCCCACAGTTACGGACGCATCAACGGACTTTGTAATGGAACGAAAGTGGGCCGACTCGGACGGTAGGACAATGCATTTCCCGCGTGCCACGGCGGAACCAGAACGCATTGTAGATCCACGACACACGCGGAAGTTTCGTGCCCTATTGTACTAAACAGTACCTCGTTCTATATTCCAAGCCGATACCTTTTTATCCCCAAGGCTTAGTACCTGATTTTGAATACGAAAATGCCGGAAAAACCGCTGCTATGAAGGAAAATTGCGAATTTTATCGTCGCCGTAATAAGAAAACGTTTATGTAACAAATAATATTTTTTCACATCAACGTGGTTATGTTTTTATTTATGTATGTGTCTCAAATACTTGACACTGATTGGTGCCTATATAGTACCTACCGGCTTTGGTGGAAAAACAAACTAGTAACAAAACATAATAGCCATTATATACCCGTTACGCTTGAAATAATTACGCAACAAAGAACGTTTGTTTTCCTTAAATGGGATCACATACAAATACATACAAAAATATGGACAAAAAAACAAAAGGAACTTACGATCTGTGTGGCATATCCTCCATAATCCGGACACGGTTTGCTTGGCAACTAGGTCATGTCTGCCCGTGCCGTTGTACGAAGGGTTGAGCATATTCTCCTGTGTGTGAAGCCAGTTGTTAGTTGATACTGCTACCAAAACTGCTACGACTGCGGTGCCCGCTGACAGCGGCGTGAGCAACCAAAGACACGCTACTGAGGAGTCGATTTGAGCCACCAAAGTCGGTGATGGAGGAGATGGTCTGAAAAGTACCGAGATATTTCGTTTTGAACAGAGAAGTAAGATAAATATAATACGGTTTTTATTATGCAGTGTGTGTGTCTAAATACGCCTCGCCTTTGTATTTATTTGTCCGTTAAGATCGGTAGATTCTGTAGTTGAGAAGCTATTAGTCAACACAATAGAGGAGAAATCTATGTGAATGCTCAATAACTCGCTTTATGGTCATGGCATCTACTACTGAACAAAGGCCTTTAGTTCATCATATCGAACGACAAACCGCCACTTGCACTAGCCTATGATTCTGACGATCGTCGGTTCACCTAGCAGAAGGCTGGCCCACGCTACACATATTTCGCTTAACTGATGATCACTAGGTTTTCGAATTTAATCTTTAGAATGCTATATTATACGGGTCACTATTGTAATTACCTATTATATTTTACGTCGTACAAAATATATTTTTCACATGAAAAATTAACTGGCGTTGTCCATTCACGATTTTAGTGCTGAATATTTTTAACAACCTAACCGAGTTTTTATATCTTTCCCAAAAAATAATATTGTATTATTTATTTATTGACAAAAAAAGAAAAATAATATTAAAGTTAAATTAAATTAAAACACATTTCGAAATGCCTACAATCAAATTAAAAAATTAAACGGAAATATATTGTATGAACAACATTGAAATTGGATGATTGAAATTATGATCTTTAGGACTGAGTATTTTTAGCCAATTAATAACCACGTAAGTCACGTAAAGTATACAATTTTTAATCCCCAAACGGATAGGTAGAGGTATAGATATTTAATCAAATAACACCCGTCTTGTACATACATTGAATTAAAGTATTTATTAATCTATGTAACTCGGTCCTGTCCACCAATAGACCTTAAGCTTAGGTAACTGTGTCTATATTTAATTTAGTTAGTGTTCATAATTCAAAATTTCTTTGAATTTTTCATATTGAAAGCCTCGGGATTCTTCACTTAACTGTTTCAATATGCAGATTTCTATTAACAATTCTCAAAGTTAGTTATTAAAGTTCGAAGAACGGGACAGATTCTAGCCCCGGGTCATGCAAAAGACGAGCCAGTGTAACAAGTATAACCTAATTATTCTAGAATCAAAAGGAAAGTATTATTTCCATTCCAAAGAAAGATAAAGTTTCGGAAAGATTTTGCTACGATGAGATGAAGCGTTATTTTGAAACTTAACCTCAGGCTGATACTGTGATGCGCACGTCTTAAAGAGCTTACCACGAAAATGCTTGATTAAAAACAACATCAACAGCCTATAAGTGGCCACTGCTGACCAAAAGCGTCTTCTCACAGAGGAGATTTGAGCATTAAGACTATGACTGCCAATAAAAAACTGTTGAAGGTAAATCCTCCGCTAACGCCGGTCACCGGTGACCCCCATGGCGTTTAACGTGTTAATCGCCACATTTGCTCAATGCGGGTTGGCAATTTCAAACATTAAATTATATATTATAAGCTTAGGTTTCCTCACGATGTTTTCCTTCACTGTTTGTTAGTGATGTCTAAATGATCTTAGAAAGTGCATATAAAAATATAACTCGGAAAAGTCACATTGGTACTTGTCATTGGTAAGTTTCGAACCCACACCCTTATGCATGAGACGCGGGCGTCTTAAATGAACGCCGTGGGGGACAAGGTATGGGCTACGATAGCGGAGGATTTACCTTCAACAGTTTTCTATCGGCAGTCAAAGACTTAATGACATAAATTAGTCAAAGAGTTTTTTGATTATTGCGATTAATAAAATAGAGTTAATTAAATCCGTTAAAAATATTTTTTTATTTATTACTTGTTAAAAATATATTTTTGTATAGTAGTTACCTGGGCGGGCGGCGGCTGGCGATGGCGCCGCTGAGCGTGGGCGCAGGCTGAGCGCGTGCGCCGCGGGGCAGCGAAGCATGCACGCACTGCGCACCGCCTGCCCACATTCCTTCCTTGCGCTTCACTGAAATTCATAATAATTTTATTTTAAATATTACATAGTTAATACAAAAAAAAACAGTGGGCACGTCACTGTCAAAAGGTTAATGTTGAAGGGTCTTTTTGTTTTAAGGGGGGAAAATCATCGAATGACTCCTCTCCTGGGTGAGGCGGGAGGGAGTGTCAGACTCTTACTGACTAAAAACCACCCCGTTCCTTCTCCTGCACGTCGAGCCGGAGCCCCGGTTACCCGTTAGGTTCTCCGCGACATGTTGAAGGGTCTAGTAAAGGATTTACCTTCAACGATTTTCTGTCGCCAGTAAAATTCATAAGCGTTAAATAAATTCAATGGCATCTTCTGTCAAAGAATCTTCGACTAAAAGTTGAAAATTTCTTGTATAACTCCTTATGAGATTAAGTCGACATAAAGGTAATTTTTTTATTCAAAATCTTCATGTTCTCATTACGCGATTGTAACATATGTATTTTAAATAAGAACATACGAAAATACATTGTACGATCTTGATTTATATAACTCATATTACATATTATTATTTGGATATAAAAGTTCTGTATAAGGTACGTATTTTTCTTTTACAGAAGCTCTCATTGGCGTACAGGTATCACTATCGACTATTTTCTTTCCTTTTTCCTTAAACCTCTTTTTGTACCCAAAATTTTCCACCACATTCAATGACAGCCGTTGTATAAGGAAGCACCTGATACTGACTTAAAAACCGTGTCGCCAAAATAAATATTACGTTACTAGCTGTTGTCCGCGATTTCGTCCGCGTAGAATAGTTTTAGCTCATAACTCTTTTTTGTGTCAACTTTTCAAAATAATAATAGCCAATATTACCTCTAGTACATCAGCTACCTACCAATAAAAGTTTCCCAAAATCGGTTCAGTCATTCCAGAGATTTGCCAGTAGAAATAGACAGATACACAAAATTTGTAAAACATATTATGTTGGTAAGTGTATCGTATGTCAATAGACACTCCAATTTTATTTGTCTGTATAGATTTTATTAGTAGTGTTTCATAAGTGTTACTTCTAAGTCTATTTAATAAATACACAAATTAAAATAAATAAATTTATAATTAATTTACTTTCCGCACATTATGCCACTATAAAATGTAACACCCACTAATTTATGTTATGAGTCCCATGTAATAGTGGGTGAGCCTATTGCTATATGCCGGGCACAATTCCAGACTCCGTGCCACTACTGAGATTTTTTTAAAAACCCAGTAAAACTTTGCCGGACCTGGGAATCGAACCCGAGACCCCTTGCCCGGCAGTCGCACTTGAGACCACTCGGCCAATGAGGCAGTATTACAATGATATTATAAAACATTAGTATAATAAATGAAACGATCAAACAATCGCAGACCGATATCTGCAGTATCCGTACCCAGCCCCCTTTGTTACTGTTTACCCAAAATACAAATTCCATTACATTGTCACAGGTGGAAATTGATATTCTATGGTCGTTTCCGAAGAGTTTTCTGTAGCAACATCAGCTCAATTCATTCGTGGACTAACCCTACACCCACAATCTAATAATGTTAAAGACGACTATAATAAAATTCAATTATATCGTCCCACTGTCTGAAATCGTGTTACAATTTGGATCGACCCTATTTCTCGCTATTACAACGTTTTACTGTTATGATTTTCGGTTAATTCATTTTTCTAGTTTCCTCGGCGATATGGCTGCTGAGAATTTCGTTGGATTTTCGACAACTTTTAAACTGAGAATGTTATCTCTTTTGATTGTAGGTTAATTGTAGGTGATAGAAGGTTTAATTTGTTGATACTTATAAGTGCATATATGCAACACATTTAATAAGAAAGACACATTCTAAGGAGGGTTTTGACCCATCATTTTAAGGCTACAGGGCACAATCCACACCATTGCAGCCAAAAAATCAAGCACTTATCAACTAAAATTAGTTTATCAAAACCAAAATGGCTATATTTATAAAATGAATGTACCTATTGTTTTCTATACCTTAAATCACATTGTAATTTAACCCTTATCCTCAATGAAATATGCATGTGATTAATAAACCTTAGAATATCTATTTTGGTGAGCGGCTTAAAATTAAATTTCATTTAGTTCCTGTAGAATCACCCTTTAACCTCAATTAATGAGCAATAGAGCAGTAAATAAGGACGAAATGTGAGCCGCTGGAGGCATAATTAAACTTAATAAGGTCATAATTTTTATTTTAAAAGCTTTGCGTCTAATATCTACTAAATAAATTATGTATTTTTAAGTGAAATATAATGAAATATCTTCAATTTTCTGTCCGTTGTTTACACTGCTTTGAAGTTCCTTGTTGATGTTTAATGTTAATTTCTTTTTAGTTAGGTAGTTATCATATTATTGCAAGTGGTTACTTCTCATCATTATATATTTATATTATAGTATTAATTATTACTCCTCGTATATCCTTTTTTAAGGGGGGAAAATCATCGAATGACCACTGAGAGAGTGTCAGACTCTTACTGACTCAAAACCACCCCGTTCCTTCTCCTGCACGTCGAGCCGGAGTCCCGGTAACCCGTTAGGTTCTCCGTGACTCCTCGTATATCCTTGACTTCACGGTTAGCGCAGTGACTGGGCTAAACATAGAACATATAAACCTTTTTTATAATATTAAGTTCTGTGAGGCTAAGCAACGTGCCACGGGAGTCTGATTCCGGCGCGGTACCATTTTTTGTGATATTTTTCTAGGTCTGTGTTTGAATGTAGTGTGCACGTAAAAACATAATGTTTGTAAATGCAGCTATGACACAAAATAGATTTACTGGTGTGGAATAACATAAAAAAATGGTTATATCTTCAACAAAATTTTTATACAATTAAAATTAAGGTATATAGAGATCTTTCATACAATAGAATCCAAGATTATTTAAACAAGATAACTAATCAAAATTGACTTTATATTAAATATTGAATTAACAACAAATTACGAGTTACACACCTAAACATATTATGAAAAGAAAAAAAAACTGTATTTCACGCCAAAAAACAAGTAACATTGTACATACATAAAAGTCATTGTATTGGTAGATAATGATGGATATATGTTCATGTCCCTTGTCTGCCGCAAATGGGGCCAGTGGTGAAAAGAAAAAATAATTTCGAATCACAGAGAGACTCTTCCTCATGAGCAGCATGCGCGGGAGCTTTTCTCAGTACCTATATTTTAACCTAATCAAAATTTCGTACAATGCATAGTAAAATCACCTTTCTTACCACGTACATAAAATCCTTTATTAATAATAGTCGTATGCTGTCAGCATTAGACAGGTCATTTGTCTAGACAGTCATTAGTACCACAAAAGCAATAGGTACCTAAGCTAATTGTCCATATAACAATATGTATTAGAACAAAGCCGAATCGACGCCGTCGCGTAAATTGATACCTCACGTCTATACTTGACAAATATTGTCTCGTTCCTTGTCGTAATTGGGAGATCTAAACCGTAAGAGTATTACTTTGTAATAACATAAATATTCATTTTACATAACACACGTTAGGCTTAAGTCCATAGGGGGGGGGGAGGGAGAGGTGCACAATGTGCTCAATCATAAGCAATGTAAGACCATTTTCTACGATCAGTTTTGTAGCGAATGCGTAGTGTAGTAGGCTGCGCAATGTCATGTTACCGCGTCTGTGCACGCCTTTCATGAATAATCCCATTAGAACTTATTTCATTCATTTTTCGTAATTAACTCGTCGAGTACCGGTTTTGTAGACACAATTATAGAACAATAGGTTGCGGTCACCGGTGACCGCTTGGTATTTGACAGTTTAAACGGTTATATTTAATTTACTTGGTATCGCTACTAAATTTTAAGTTGTACTATCTGTCATTTTATAAAGAACTAGCTTCCGCGGTTTCACACGCTCTGCTCATCTCCTATTGGTCGTAGCGTGATGTTTTATATTATGCCGATAGCCATTCTCAATAAATGCGCTATCCAACACAAAAATAGTTATTCAAATCAGACTTGTAGTTACGGAGAATAGCGCGTTCAAACAAACAAACAAAAAAACAAACTCTTCCGCTTTATATAATAGTTTAAGATATAAGATTTGTAGTGACAGAACTACACTTAAGCGCTACAAAAAATTTAGTGGCGTTTGAGTATTTCGACATTAGTCTCACTATAATTAGTCGCGGAGAACCTAACGGGTAACCGGGGCTCCGGCTCGACGTGCAGGAGAAGGAACGGGGTGGTTTTTAGTCAGTAAGAGTCCGACACTCCCTTCCGCCTCACCCAGGCGGGAGCAGTCATTCGATGATTTTCCCCCCTTAAAAAAAAAGTCTCACTATAGTTATATACAAACATGCGTAGCGTTCTTGTATCGGGTTACGTATAACTAATCAGCCCCCGAATGGCACAAATTGTATCAGATCAAGAGACAGAAATGGTGAAACATTGTTAAAATATAATAATAATGGTCACCGAACTTGTAGGTAACAGTTGTCACCAAACCCAAGGCAAAGAACGAACAATAAATGCAGCGCTAATGACGGTAATATAAATGATGCTTAGAATACGTGATCCCATAATGATCCGGTATAAAACACGAATACAAAGTTTGTAGTAGTAATGTCAGCAATAAACGGTTCCATTTAACATAATTACGCTGGGCGCGGTGTCCCTGTAGACATTTGACGTCGTCTCAACTGAGACACAAGTTATAAAAGTTATGAAACTCCCTTGGTTCACGTTGCCAATGATGCCCCATTTTGGTTCCCCAAGCCATGTTGTGATTATAATGTTTTCTCCAGTTGTTATTCAAAGAGATATTGCGTTATTTTTCTGTTAAAATGGAATAGTTTGGAGAGAAAATAAGCTTGTTGTGTATTGTTGGCGGTTTCAATTTAAGTCGTTGTTATTTTTATAGTGGCTGTTTAGTGTTTGGTGCTTAAGCGCTCTTAACTTGACATTAGGTAAGTAGGTACCTAATACTATAGAACATACGAGCAATTCAACATT